CTAAAAGGTTTTTTAGGCCTTTTAAATGGAGGTTGAAGTCAGTCATCCTTGCAAAGGCCTAGTAGAGCTCCAAGAAATTTCTTTCAGACAGCCTGATAAAAAGATTAAAAGTAAAAGCTTTTGATTTTGAAATTCAAATACAAATCCTATAGTAAAATTTGACTATTGAATTTCCTTGAATGTTTTTTCTCCATGATGATTTTTCCTCCCGAATTTGCCTGATGGATCTTACTAAAATAGAAGCAACATTTTCTCAGACTGCCTAAGTCTGAGTGTCTAAGAACTACAGCAGTGAACAGCCCAAATTCAATTCATGTTTCATGCTTTCCTTTATTGTGTGTGAGAGGCACAGTCTTGCAATGTTTTCCTTATTTCCTCTTCCACTACCTCCACAACACAGTAACCTTCACACTGAATGGGAATAGCTGGATACAGCTTCCTGCATGGTTTCTCAATTGCTGGCAATTTAGTTGGCCAGATGGGGTTTCTATGGAGAAATGTGAAGGTTAAATGTGCCCCCGCAGAGCTCTTGGCTCCTGCTGACTCAGCAAGTGAAGGACACAATCAAATAGTACAACTTCCACCTCTTTTCTCACCTTCTTTATAGCCCCTTCTATTTTTCTTCCTTCCACTCATCCAGGACCGTGTCTGAACTATTATTTCAGGTCTATTTTCAGGTGCCGTGCTTTTTTTTTTTCTGCAGTAGCTTGCAATTAAGGGAGTCTTTACCAGTCTCACTCTAAGTTCCTACAGGGAAAATGTGAAGTCTCAGAGACTACAGAGAGGCACGAAGCTTTAGCAGACACATGGAACAGCAGCTGTGTGGAGATAATATGAAATGGTAGCACAGAGCTCTTCAGCCAGGAATGGAGGATAGTAGAGTGTCTGCATATTGTTTCTGTGTGAGTATCAGAGTGAGGCATCAGTTGGTTTCTGCTCTTACTGTTACTAGGAAAGCATTAAGAGCAGGAGCAGCAGCTGAGATACATTTTTTTTTTTCCGGAGAAGCCTTAAAATAGACTGAGTGCAGATATTGAGGGAAATAAGATTTAAGCCCCATTATAAGTGGAAATGTCTTCAAATGGCATAATTTTGACAATATGCTGGGGCACCAGTCCATTTAAAAGTCATGGGAACATATTCATTAACCACATTAAAGTAAAGTCCCATAATACAAGCCTACATTTACAACCAATTGACTTCAAAATGCCTTAAATTGACACATAGATATTTTTGTAAAGGGGAGACAGCTCTGGGAAACAAAACACTGAAGAAGGCCAGACAGTCAAACTGAAGACCTTACCAAGAACCGGCTACAAGCGATATTTTGAGCACAATATACTTGAACCTCAAATATGAGAGTCTGGCTTCCTGACAACCTTCTTTAAAATGGAAATCTGTCCTTTGTTTCAGAAAGGTATTTTCTAAATATTTCTATATTTCATTTTTTTTTCATAAATATATCTCAAGTCCAAAAAAAAAGAGGAACATGATGGGAATATTTTTGTCTCTCTCCAGTTTGTAACTAGAATTAATGAAGGATCACTAACAGAAATCTTACTGTTGTAATTATAAGGCAAGAGATGAATATTTAGCAGCTTTCTTTTCCCTCTAGGAAGAGTAAAATATTGTTTTTTAAAATAGTGTTTCATGACTGATTAGTCCTCACTCTGGCCCAGAGTCCATTTTTTTTGAATCCACAAGTCAGATGTGACAGCAGCCTTGAATGGTGGTTTTGATGAGAGTGCTTGTGTGGTGAGAGAGCACTATTACATGGGCTGTTCTCAGTCTCAGACCTTAAATTTCCAGCATGACTGAAGATCAGTAAGGATGTTTGCATTCTTCTACAGTCATTTAGTTGGCATCTAATCCTTCTTGCTTCTTAAAACCAAAACTATTTTCTAAAAAACTATTTCTGCTTTTAAATTAAATATAGCAGGGGAAAACCTAAGAAGCAGCCTAGATTATTTACTCCAAGTCTTTCTACTGATGAATCTGAAAAAATTGACCACATTCTGTATATAGTTGATAAATAATTCTGATGTCCTATTGACAACTCTTGTGGTTTATGAAATTTTACATGTCAGCAGCTATTTGTCAAGTATTTTCTTGCTATTATTGTATACACATATACCTATATATTTATTTATTTATATTATACTATTTTTTTAAAATATATACATACAAGCGTATGTATATATGCTATCTAGGAATCTCTGAAAGAGGGTCTAGGTAAATCAGTTTGTCTGGTATGACTTTCTTCCATATCCCTCAAGTGGAAGTTGAGGGAAATGGAAGCTCACTTCCATTCTGAAGTTTACTGCCCTGTGTTTTCAAGGGGTTTTCTTCCTACCTGACATATACAGCATAGTGGACATGAGGCTTGCTGTGAGTTGAAGGGGTGGAAGTGTAAATGAGTTTTACTAGAGGAAAAAGAGGGACAGAAAACTTCCTTAATTCTGTAGTCTAATAGGCTACTTAATTGACAATATGACTTTAAATAAGTCTTCTGAACTGCTAATATGTTTTATGTTACACATTCCTGTGAGAAAAGCAGAGATATCCCTGGATGAAGGGAACTTAGGTCTTTTCTTTCACAGATAGGATCACAGAACAATATTTAGTTATTGTTATATCTATGTTGCCTCTCTGGACCCAACCCTTTCTAATTCCTGTCATAGAATACATTTCATATCTGAATCTTCTTTCTTTCAAGTCCTTCCACTAAATTACATTCCATCTGTGAAGCCCATAAAGCCTTAATCATGCCTTCTAACAAATGTTATCACACTTACATAGCAAAAGATGCCCAGAGAGAATCACAGAACATTTGGGAACTTCTACCATCTGTGCATCTTCAAGTTATGCTTATTCAAGGGTTCTTCCCCACACCCCAGTTCCTTCTTCTCCAAAGCACTGTATACCTAAGCATATTTCCTTTTGTAGAGACAGGGATCTTTACTGTCCTCTGTCTGCAATGGAAATTATGATATGCCACATAATTATATTAAACAATATCCTTAGGGTCAAAAAATTAAATGTTCATTTCATAATTAGAAAATGATGAAATGAAGCTATAGGTGGTATCTACCTGGTGGTTCCAGGCAGTTGTACCTGTGAAGTCTGACATAGTCTTTCATTAAAGACTTTCATATTTTTTCCCCTCAAGGTCCCTACTTTCTTCATTGTACAGAACTGAACTTCCCTGAAACTAAATCAAGGCAGAAAATAGTGTTCCATAGTGTTAAAATGTTTTATTTTAAAACTGGAAACTAACACTCACTTCCAGCATTGAGTTCCCCCATGATATTGTCACAGAACAAAATATTTTGACTGTGATTTCATCTATTTTTGAGTTCTTACCTGAAATCATAAGATTGTTTTGCAGTGAGCATCTCCAAACACACGTTATGTCAGTGAGAGTTTTAGTTTGCACATGTAAAAGCCATGTAATTCTAAGCACTCCTCAAAAATATAGATCTTAAACACTCAAATTAGATATCCTAAATCTGTGGATATTTTTGACTTGCATCGCTGTAGTACCTTCCCATTTTTAATACTGGACTCATGATAACCTATGGTATAATACAATTCTTCACAAATTAAATGAAGTTTTTAAATTTTTTAGATAATTCAGTGATATATATCATAAAAAATTCTATTTATAATTCTGTGTCCAGGATGCTGTTTGAACAGTGTGCAGTAAGTAATGCCTTGAGACTAATACTGAACATGAAAAAAATTTAAAATCAAATAAGTTTCTTATTAAATCCAATCTTACACATTTATTCTGTATAACTGTCATGGGCGAGTGGAAGGCTTAGACAAAATCACTAAATAGCAAAGCCTTGCCAATGAGTCTTGAGGTGCAGAAAGCACCTTTCTTCCTAAACCCCTTCTCAGAGAAGTGTTGAGGTGCAGCTGAATCCTATCTTAGCCTCGGACTATGTTAATGGTTTAAATTTAAAGGAATTATAGAGGTATGATTAAATCACCTTGTCCTGCAGGTTTTAATGATGCCAAAACAGATATACTTATATAAATGAATTGTTTATTACAACAAATTAACAAACAGGTGAACAGACGAAAGATCTTAATCAGAATTATTTACTACACAGTGTAAAAGCTAAAAAATCTACTAGTAGAATATTATACAACAAAGAAATTATAACATAGAAATTATATTAAAGCAATTGTATTGCAGCTAGTAAAAGAAACAATAATTAGAGATTGATGCAACTTACCATATGAGACAGCAGGCTCTCTCAACCCCTGGGGAGTAACCATGACGTCTCCCTGCTTCAGGAGAGAAGAGCCACACTTCAAGGAAGTATGTGGAAGAACCTGCCATATGGAAATTGGACTGGGCTTTTAGAGTTATGAAGTGATGGACTGGTAGTCACAGATTTACAAGCCCACAGGCTAGCTTATCTGTCAAGTCCTGCTTCAAAAGCAGGGTGTGTATTCAAAACTTGGTGGACCAGGATGGTTTTAGCATGATTTAACACCAAGACAACACTCTGGCACCAGCAGCTGATAACTTGATTGGATTTTAGATCTTATCAGGGTGGGCCTATCCTGCCACAATTATTAAATAAAAATATTTTTTAATGTATTAAAAATTATTTATGTACTTTAATTAATGTACTTTTAAGTACATTAAATTGTACATTAAAGTACATTAAATGAACTTTAAAGTACATTTAATTAATGTACTTTAATTTCTTCAATTGAATTTTATTTATTTTTATTTGATTTCAAATTGAAATTCAGTGGAGAAAGAATACATGAACATGCAATTAAATTGCAATCACTGAATTAAGGGTCTGCTGACAGTATTATTCTGATATTTTCTAGCTTCTGAGTGTTATATTGTGTATAGTTTCCATATTTGGCAATATAAACAGTGTTCTCGATATTAGTTTGGAGGGGTTTATATTAATTTTTTTTGCTAGATCATTTCCCAGCTAAAACCCAAACAAACAAACTGAAACACAACAGAAGTTTAATCATATGCTGTATTAGTAACACTTACATGGCTGGTCATCAGGACCGTATCCTTTTGATCTTCTGAATAAGCCGTTGTGATTTGAACAACAGTTAAATATATAAAATGTTATGACCGTTTAGAAAGAGCATGAATGGGATAATTTTATAGTAAATCTCACAGTTATTTTTTTACTTCATTGATATCTAGAACACTCCATAACCCTTCTTAATCCTCTTCTCTCTCTTCAGATCTAACTTCGATCCCTCTGTGTTCAAACATGGCAGCATCCTGCTCCCCATTGTTATGTCCCAAAAGAGAGGTCACATAATGCTGGACTGTTGTAGTTTCTGGGCAAAAACCTGAAATTATCGAAAAGTATTAGTTAGCAACATGTTGCGCTACACATAATGTGAATAAAATATCTGGGGAATTTATTCTCTAAAAATGTAAAGTCCTTACCACATTTATTTAAATGCAGTATTTTAATGTGTTGCTATTTGAACAAACTTGGGTGGATGGATTTCAATCATAAGACAAAAACTCCCAAAAGTTAGCCTCTTAAAAGCTCAAGTTCAGAATGAAATGTATAAAAGTGCTGAAAATATTTAAATAAGGTTGTCTATAAATTTCATCATGAGTATCATTATCAGATATCACTGAATCAGTCTGACTTTTTTCAAAAATTTAAGTATAGCTTCAGACTTGGAAAGAAGTTATATGCTAAAGTTCAGTAAACCAATAAGCAATCAAAAAAAGGGATATATTATTTGAAGTGTCATGAAGTCATAATAGGTATCATTCTTACTTATAACTTTCAGAGGAGTAATAATACCAAGTTAAGTCAATAACTTCTTCCAAGAATGACACATAAGATGAAGCTAAAAAAGTTTTCTTCTCATTACTTTGTGTTCATGAACTTTTTGGAACTGAGGTAAATTAAATATATCCTCTTTCAGTTACACTATAAATCATGTAGTCTCCCATGAGGGAAAAAAAAGTAGAATTTTAGTACAAAAACGCCAAAATGTTTTTAAAAGAAAAACAAAAGTTAATAAATAAAAGCCTAATAACTTGGTTAAGAAGTAGCTTCGCCCAGCTGTGTTGATGCATAGTTTTAAAATTAAAATTGGAATGCCATCATCTTTCTAAAATCTGTTCTTTCTCATTTCTCCCTTATAAAATTTTCATTGTATTTTTTCACAAAATTAAAAATCTTCACCTATTCTATTTCCAGTCTTCTTGTTCTAGTCTATCTCTCTAAACTTCTCTAAAGTATTTGATAGAAGAATCTTCATGGAATGATTTATTCTAGTATATGGATTTTTTTTTTGCTCATCAAGGACTTTATATATTTTTATATATATGTATATACACTATCTGTATATTCACCTTGATAAGATCTGGCAACTGGTAGTGTCCCTCATAATTTCAATTGACCTTTGACATTCAGGATAACTCTGTTCTTGTGAAAACCCATGCACGTTTTCAGTTTCTTCCACCTGTTTTCTACCTGTGCATTAGTCAAGTCTTTGAAAGTTCTAAGTTTCTTTTGGTCAGATATAGCTTCTTTTGTTCTGCAATTATCTACTTATCTTCACTTTCATTCCCCTTCTTTTCATATAAAGCATTCAGATATGTAAATTATGAATTTGCAGATAATAATGTAGATGACATGTAGCCAATACGTAGATAAGACAGACACACAGAGTTGTAGTGGTAAATAGTGCAGAATATGTAAATACTGTATCCCCTTGTACTCTTTAATGAAGTGTCAAATGTAAACCTTCAGGTCTTATCCAAAAATTGCTAAGAAAGCAATGGCTTCACTTTTGCAGAATGTGCTATAAAGAAGCAAAAACAACCAGTAAAATTCTAATTATTTACCTGGAAATACCCAAATAAATTATATGTTGTTTCAGGTTTCAACAAGGATTGCAATACTGAAATAAGGAAAATGATCAACAAAAGCAAAGTTACAGAAGAAGAACACATCTTAAAAGAAATTAATTCAAACACTAGAAAATATTCAAAGCAAAAGTCTACATAACTTTCACTGCAGAATCTTGAAATTAATATGTATATCTAAAGAATCTAGAACAAGGATTTTTAGTAAGTATGTCAGGATGATCATTTATGGAAAATAGCAAATGGCCTGCCTACATTTGAAAAGGGAAGCAGAAGAGAGGAAATAAATAGATGTTTCGATATGCCTTTTAGATGATTTCAGCATGTAAAGCTTCAAAATTAATTTTGAAGCGAAGAATGAGTAATAGCACAGAATCACAGAATCATTTAGATTGGAAAAGACCTCTGAGATCATAAAGTCCAACCTCTGACTGATTGCCACCTTGTCAACCAGACCATGGCACTAAATGTCACATCCGGTTGTTTCTTGAACACCTCCAGGGATGGTGACTCCACTACCTTTCTGGGCAGTCCATTCCAATTTTTAACAACCCTTTCTGTGAAGAAATTCCTTCTGATGTTCAACCTGAACCTCCCCTGGTGCAGCTTGAGTCTATGTGCTCTTGTCCTGTCACTAATTACCTGAAGAAGAGACTGACCCCCACCTTGCTATAACCTCCTTTCATGTAGTTGTAGAGAGTAATAAGGTCACCTCTGAGCCTCCTTTTCTCCAAGCTAAACAACCTCAACTTCCTCAGCTGCTCCTCATGTGACTTACGCTCTAGACCCTTCACCAGCTTCGTTGCCCTTCTCTGGACTCACTCCAGCACCTCAATGCTTTCTTGTACTGAGGAGCCCAGAACTGGACACAGGATTCAATATGCAGCCTCACCAGTGCCAAGTACAGGGGAACTATTCTTCACACAAGTACAGAAGTACAGAGTACACAAAAGTACAAAGCAAACTTAATAAAATCTGTACAAATATTTCCAAGAGTAGATAATACCTTTTATCAACATCTTTCTTTAATAATTTATCTTCTAAACAGGGCAAAAGAAGATCTCACCTATCTGGATTTCAAAACAGTTTTTGACACTATCCGATATGAAAAGAATTATTTAAGACTGAGAAGATAAAGAACTGATTAACCAGGAGAGGACAACAGACTGTGTTAAGTGTTTGCAATGTCAGATGGAAGCTGCTAAGGGGTTCTTCATGGGCTGCCTTGCCATATATCTTTTTGATATTTAAATTAAAGCCTAGATCACAAAACCTTGGAGCATGCTGCTGAAATTTGTTGGTAAAGCAAATCTGAGAATCATGAAATGATAAAAATACACAGATGACCTTGATGACTTCTATAATAGAAATGAGATTAAACTTAATCGTACAAAAGAGCAATGTAACTAGATTTTCAGCTATAAACTGTGAGTTCGTCAGCTGGAAATGACAAAGAAAAAAAAAGATGCAGCCAATCTACTAGAGAAGGACTATCAGCCACCAAAACATGATGTAAGTATGAAAAATGCTAATATGGAGTATTAAAAAAGGTATTTCTGGGTTAAAGAAAGGGATGTTTAATGCTATCACATGAGGTAGAACAATTCCTGTCCTCCATATTAACCAAAGATTCACTGAAAAAGTAATTAAAAATAGAGTAGAGGTGAAAGGGAAGTTTATCAGCATGATGTCAGGAATGCAGAATTTAACTCATGAAAAGAAATTGAAAAATCTTGTCTTATTCTGCAAAAAAAACCCCTAAAATGAGAGAAATGCCCTTAGTAAATATATGTATGGGTAAAAAGAGCCTGCAGATGTTTATAATGGATTGAACTTTGAGAAGAAGAAAATAAGAATTTTACAGATATATAAACAGATATATTTGAGAGATATGGTTTTTATGCAATATGAGTGCTTACACTAGTGGAGGATAGGACTCAGCATTGAAGAATGCCAGCTTATTCTGAGTCATAAACATGATCTCTCAGGTCAGGCAAAATAACATTTACACCCAGTGGTTTAATGGAATTTATTTTGATTCAAATACACATCATTTTCTTCTTCACTCATCTGCTTAAGATCTACATGAATGCTTTAAACATCATTCACTCACTAGGTGCCTAATGCAAAGCTTATTTAGTCAAAGTGCTTCCGTTGACTTCTGTATGCTTTGGATTAGGTTCTATATCGTAACCCATCAACCAGCTGCTGCAGGCTTGCAGTTTTATCACAATATTAGACTGCTTTTCTCTTTTCCCCATGATCTTAAGAGGGAAAGAAAGAGGTATACTTTGTTTTGCCCTGTCTGTTCTTTAATGTGCTTAGATTGCAGTTATTTCCTGCTGAGCCCTGGATGAGGTTTAGTTTGTTGAAGAGCAACTTTTTAATCATCTCACAGAATGAATGAACTGGAAGATATGTCAGGCTTCTATCAGAAGATGAAAAACGTGGAAACTTATCAGTACCTCTCTTCCTCTAGATATATTGTAGGTCATATAACCCCCTTCTGTACAGTACTTATTACTCTTATAAAGGAAGCTAAAAATGTAATTATGGAAGGATGATCACCAAGAAACTTTGCAAAACAGCTAAAGTAGACATAAAACTATGCCTGTCTGTGCATGGCAAAAAGTGCAAGTGAGGCAGCAGGTGAACAAATGATTTCAAAACCAGGCTATGTAATCTTCCCCACAGGAAGGGTGGCTACAAATCCTTTACTCTTATTTTGGAGAATTAAGGTAGCAGTGCAAAACATTTCAGAAGCAAAGCTGATCAGAGTACCAGCTGATCAGTACCAGCATATAGATCAGTGTTTTACAGCCTAAAATATATTTGGCTACTCCTATTGGTGATTAAAAGATCCTGTTTTAGGGTGATATAACCGGGGTCTTCTCCAGCCTCTAATTCTCATTTTGGCTAAATGCCAGAGCTCTTTACTAGACCTGTGCAGTACAAGAATGGATATATATGTTTGTTTTAATCTAGTTCAGAGAAATGTGCAAGAGACTCCATCTCTTCACACTTTCTTTTGCTCACCAACAGTAGATGGTAGCAGGTGAATAGCCCTTACTTTTTTTTCAGTGAATAGTAATGCCCTTGATAAAGTCAAACAATGGATTAAGGAAAAACACCGTCTGCTTCTGCACTGTACAGCTAAATAAGGCTTATAGCAATACAGTCTCTAAGGACTCTAATGTTTCACTTTTCATATGAAAAGAAATGGCAAGTTTTAACATTATAAAATACCTGGTAAAGTACTTTTAATCATTGCAGAACAAAGCCAAATAGCCTGTCCAATAAGCAACCAACAGCTTGGTCCCATTCTAAATGATTTTGCCACCATATTTATTTCCCTAATTTAGAATAACTGTGTATTTATATGACTCTTATTTCAGCCAGAGAGCAGTAATTGTTTTTGATAAAGCAGACAGAAACATTAAAGGTCCCAAATAAGCAAGTATTTATATGTGTAGATTTATAAATTTCATTTTAGGTATAGTCAATAACATATATTGGCATTAACTTACACAAAGGCATAGAACATCACAGAATTCAATTATCCATAACAGTGTTTGAATTATGATATCAAAGGTTCTTATTCAGAACTCTGCAGAGTTGCCATCTTGCTTGGATATCTTCTCTTCTGCTCAACAGGCACCTGATACAGTAGATTCATGAAGACATGCCATATCTTTTATGCTCTCCTGAATTATATTAAAAATAAATTAAAGTTGCACAGGATGAACTAGGAATATTGGACAAAAGATTTTATGATCTGGTGATTTTAATTTAAAAATGAAGAAAACTTTAATTCACAGAAAAAATATTTGTGGCATCCTAAAATATTTAAATAAAAATGTAAAGCACAGAACTGAAAAATTAGGTTGAGAAGTCTTCAAAAGTGTGTAGAGGCAAAATGGTTTTACGAAGTCTGTGTACTCAGTTCAGTATATAAAGGATATCTGACAGAAATAAGTGGGAGCTTGAGCTTGAAAATACTGTATTTCAATATATCTGTAACAGTTTAGTATATTTTAATGCTATCCATCAAATTTCATGACACAACGCATTTCTTTGTATATGTAGTTCTCTGCAACACAAACTTGTTTTAAACTCTCTTCAGAATGAGCTTCTTTGACTTTCCACCAGTCCACCAAATAAAGCAGAAATGATTGCCACGTATTCAAAGACAAATCATGAGGTGAATCCAGAATATATATTAAAAAAGTACAGAAGTGCAAAACTGTGATCTGACTGACATAATCTGGAAATAGACATTTGTTAGTGGCTTGCCTAGGTGACTGAGCAGGTCATTGCACTTCCTTTTGTCTCATAGGGATAATTTACAAGGCACTTTAAGACCTTCAGTGGGCTCACTACTGATATCCCCCTTGGAAACATTATATAAAAACCCCCCATCCTACATTATTTCCCAAAGTAACCGGTGTTCTCTGCTCGTGAATCCATGTGCATATCAACTGTACCCATTTAATATTTTCAGTGACAATGAACACATTTTTCTTTCTTTGTCGGTGCTACCTGGTTCTCATACATTTCATTTAAATTAAATCCAGCTTTAATTATCTCCCCTGAATATCTCATTTTATCTCTTTATGTAAAATACATACTAATTATTCATAATTTCTCTATATTTTTATAGGAATTCATGCAAACTCACTCTAATTTTTTCTATCGTTTCCTTTGCATCTAGAGAAACTGAACAATATTTTATTTAAGAATAAATCTATAAAATAATGGGGCTGGGTACAGCACTCGTTTGTACCCCTGCAAATCCAGGAAAGTCAGTAGTTGCATATGAAGCATAAATCTAGCAAAAATCTGCCTCCCCTCATAAAAATTCATATGCTTTTTTTAAAGACCTTTCATTAATTTTTCCTTCTGATTTTAAGCATATTCTGTCTGTCATTTCTGCATGATTTTGAATAGTTAGATTTATTTGTCAACATCTGGGGAAAAAAAACCAGTCTGTAAAAGACCTTTCATAACAAATTCTATAGAATAATATCAGGAACAAATGAAAGAAAGAGAAAACCTCGAAGTTATTAATTGTGATTTGTAAGAAATATATATACACTGCAAAAATCTTAGTAAATAGAATCACTACCCCTTTGGCTAAATATTAATTAGCATAATTCTTTATAAATGTGAGAAATCAGAAATGCTGATGGAATCATGCCTATGCAAGAATCTTTCATTTTGAACAGACCTCAGATACGACTTTAAGAATGAGCAATTATAATCATGTGAGATTTAGCCAGTGTTATCCAACACAGATTAATTCTGCTCTGTCAGTAACTTCTATGGTGTATTATCAAGCTCGAAATTCTGAAAGAGAGTAAAAGAGAGAGGATTTAAACAAAGTAACTGGTTTCATGCTTAGCTAGCATTCAGTTAAATAAGCACAGATGTGGGTTTTATCTGCTTAAAAGTGAATCTGTGGTTTCCTTATTTAAACTCTTAAGTTTTAACGTCCATCAGAAAGGCTGTTGCTGCAATGAATAATTTAATCACTCCTGCCTATTACATGCTACTACACAGCAAGCATATTTGCAAAACTGTGAAAGACACTGGTCAAGTGTCAGTACTCCCTGTAACTCAGCCGACCTCCCAGTATATTCACTGCAAGGAACTACGGCAGCTCTGAGGCGGACTGAGGGCGGTTGTGGTAGGGAAGGGAGTGAAGAGGTCACAACAGAATTGTACCAGATCAGCAAGACACTTTAGAGAGATGAGAGGTCACCGCGGGCTCCGTGCTGCTGTGGTGTCATTTCAGCTGTTTGTCCCTTGGTGGAGTTCTTGAGTTAGTTTCTCCTTTCCGTCATGTGGCTTTAACTGCTGCATGTGGAGGTTCTGCCCTTGTTTTTACCCTGCTTTCGAATTTGCTGTCATGTTTACTGTATTTAACCTTTTCCACGTATTATTATGAATACGTTATTTTCAAGACAACCCGATTTTTTTTTTCTTCTGGAACTTCTTTTTCGTTTGTGTGCGTGCAAATACTAATAAGTAATGTGCATTTGTTAACGTATAGAGTGGTATGGATATGCAACTAGTCTGTCTGTTTTTAACTAGGGATCCCAGAAAAAATTTTCCAGTGAGAACCACCGACATTCCTAAACTGCGAAAACGAAATTGTCGTGGGCTGAAAGCGCCAAGTGTGGACGCGAGTTCGGCTGCCGACGACAGAAGCCGGGCTCAGCCAAGACATGCAGATAAACCAACCAGTAATTACATCTGCATATTTTAGCGATGACCCCTGTCTTTCCAATCAACAACTACAACAACGACAACAAAGCCCTGCTGCAGAGTATCGCGAGCTTGGGGGGATGTAAAGAGCCGGGGAAGCTCCCAGGCTGCTTTAGGATTTCCCCACGTACAGCCGGCTGCGATTGTCAGCAAGACGGATTCCTTCCCACACGCAAGATGCCACTTCGGTGGCCTTATCAGATGTTCCCTTTAAGGACACAAGCTCCTATTTCCCCTCTGTATATCACCAGCATCTCGGGCTATTTTATTTATTACAGACGATTACATTTGTGATCCCTCTTCCCACTTGATCTCACCCGATCAGGAGGACAAATGCCGTGTCGCGTCTGAGCGCGTGTGGGCGTCTGTGTGCATCGGGAAGGGGGGCAGCCAGGAAGAGGGGGGAGTCACACTGCGCAACAGATTTGCCCGAAAGGGACAAACCTCCGCCTCCTGAAACAGCTGGGTTTGTTCCTACAGACACCCGGGAAGCTGTGGGCGCACGGGCCGCGGGACCGGGAGTCTACGGTGCCGGGGAGGCGGAGAGCGGAGGCGGGGGTGATTTCGCTCTCTCCCCGCACGAACGAGCGGGCTGCGGGGGGGGGGGGGGGGGGGGGGGTGGGTGCGGGGTACACACAGCCAGCACAGCCCCGTCCTCCCCCCGGCAGCCGGGGCACGTGGACCGGGAGCAGCGCGGCCATCCACCATGCAGCGCACGTCGGGCCCATTTCCCACGCCGGCCGCCTGCCCTGGGGGAGGAGGGGAGGAGGCGAGGGAGGAAGGGGGAATGATAGAAAAGGGGGGGCCGTTACCTCTGCTCCGAAAGAGGAACCAATCCACTGTGAAGGACGCAGCACTCCCGAGCAGGAAAGACATTGCACATTCAGAGAGAGATTGCATGTGAAGACACTACAAAAAGAAAGAAAGGGAGGGGGGGCTGGGGGTGTAGACCGCGTGTGAAAGGCATAGTGTGTGTAAGAGAGGCCAGCGAGGGTAGGAAGGGAAGGGGGAGCGATTGCACATGGCAAGAGAAAGAAATCACTCATTCGCTTGAAAGAGGCTCTCGCAGAACAGGCCGTAGTAAAAGTAGACATGGGAGACAACGGGGAAGGAGACGCAAGCAAGAGGCGAGCGTCCATGCCGTGCAACAGCCCGGAATCCGATTAAAGTTTATGGCGGGGAGGTTAAAAACACTCTCATCCCGCCCCTCCCCTGACGAATACATTAAGTTTCCTGGCTGTGTTTAAAAACACAAAGGGAAGGGAACAGCGGGAGCTGCGGCTCGCAATTGTATTGCCAGTGCAGGGAGCCAATGTAATGCAGTATGCTGGTATTTCTACGTACTGGCATGCCTGGATCTTACTCTGAAAGCAAAATTTCCTCCTCTCGGAGCTCCAGAACAGCGAGGGGGAATTTTGATAAATTCAAGTTGCTTGGCAAATATAATAGGGATTTGGTATTAATCCTACTTAACCCGCTGCGAAGACGCTGCGTTCCCGAGCCCCCCTCCTCCGTCCGGGACTGCGGCGGTGAGCACTGAGCCTGCGCCGAGCTGGGCTTTCTCGCTGATGCTGCAGATAGAAAGCCGAGTGTCTCCAGCATCGGCGGGGGAGGGTTTTCTTGTTCTGGCAGGGTAGGGATAGCGGCCGGGGCCGGTGCCAGGGCCGGAGGAGACGCCGGAGGAGTAGCTCTGCAGCCCTCCGGAGAAGGGAGCAGTCCCTCCTTCCCTCCCTATCGCCGACTCCATGCTGCGCGGCTCTGCCCCTCTGTACCTCCGGACTCCCCAAGGAAAGAGGTGGCAACCTTCCCTGCCTCTTACAGTCACTCACTGCCCCAAATGACAAAGACACGCTGTTACCGTGGCTTTGAACCACCTCAACATATACGGCCGCTTTTCGCTCAAATATGTCATCGCGATGAAAGAAAAGCATTTCACTACATTCGTCTGCATGCATTTTTATTCAAAACAGCCACCCATAAAGAGGAATGTATACACGCACACACAGAACCCGCAACAACTTGTTTTCCCACATGTGTTCACAGAGGGAGAAAGAGCAGCTGGATTCTTGCTTCCCCCTCGCTGCGCGCACGCACGGACACACACACACAGGCACACACGCATGCACACCCCCGCACACATAGACAGACACCCTCGCACACGCCGGTTCTTCCCACTGGGAGCCCTATGTTCGCCTGCTCCCGGAGTCTCCCTTTTCCCTCCGGGATCCGAGTGGAGAGGACACGTACAGGATCCAGGCATCATCAAGCGCAGGGGGGCACACAAAAGCCATAGGCGATTAAATGGCACAAAGTCAAAAGGAGACGCGAACTAGGGATGGCAGAATAAGCAAAGTTGAGCAGAGAGCTTTAACATTAAAGTTTATTTCCCACTTACCCAGGTAGGTGACGCTACATTTTAGCTATCATCGAAGCAGCAAGTCTCTGTTCGGAAATAAATCTGTTACTTCTTACATGTGTTTATTCTACTAACCCTCTCGCCCCCATCCTGATCATCTTCTCCTAGGGATTTTTTTTTTTTTTTCTTCTCCTAGGAAACCCACAAACATGCTGAAAAGACACATTCAAATCATGGTAATAGGAAGAACACAATTACAAAAACCGAGAGGCTCAAACAGCACTGGGAAACAGGACGAAAGTCTGAGATCTAAGGCAGCCCCCCTCGCTCCCTGGAGTTTTATGCAGTTACAGTGACTGCAGCTATTTCACAAAAGCACCGACACGACAGGGGAAGGTGGGAATGGGCGAAACGACTTTCCTTACCAGCGTGATTCCGCAAAATGCAGAATAGAAGAAAAGAAAGGCGAATAAACATTTGCTTTAAAAATCGTTGCTCGATTCACAGGCTACAGCGGAGGTGGGGAGGGAAAGGGTAGGAGAAAATCACTAGAGAGGTTTGAGAAGGCAACAGAAGCAATACTCGGGCGTGAAATGAGGTTCGGTTTTGAGGACTGAACTGGTGTTTTGAGATGAGCAGCTATCCCACTTGCAGCACTAGCAGCAGCAGAGACACAGGGTAAGACTGAGCTTTCTGGAGTGCAGCGCTTGACTCGTCCTCCCTCCTCCTCCTCCCTCCCTTTCTCCCTCCCTCTCTCACTCGCTCTCTCTCTCTGCTCTCCCTCTTTCTCTCCCTCTCTCTTTCTGTGTGTATGTAGCGCAGGCGGCTCTGCTGCTGCAGCGTCAGGGAAGAGCTACCGAGAGAGGCTTCAGCAGCTCCCACCACTTTGGGCAAACTTGCCGGTTTACCGCTTCTTCTTTTTTTTTTTTCTTTTTCTTTTTTTTTTTTTTTTTTTTTTCTTCCGAGTGGGAAGCTTCTCAATTGCCATTCAACATTTTAAAGCACAAGCCGCTCAGCCGTGAAAGCGCCTGATCCACACTTCTCTGAAAGACACAGGAGGGAATACACAATTGCAGATTTCACCCACTGTGGCGGTGCAGATCACAGGAAACAACTGATTGAAATAATTTTATTTGCAAATAGAACTCTGTTTTTTTCTTTCTTTTTTTTTTTTTTTAATCGCGTCGCGGCTCTTTTCCCCTCCCCTTTGCCATTCCGCTTATATGGATGTAATTCAGAATCTGTGTTAATTCACGTGGGGGATCCAGTTACATCTTGTTCCGCTCCGGGTATATTTACGAGCGACCAATAATCGCCTTTGGACACATAGTTTTGTTGCTAACCTTTGAACTGAAAGGATCAAGTTCAGATCTGGTTACCTGCATTGGGACGGGAAGGAAGAGGAGAGAGAGAGAGACTGCAATCTCATTTGTGAATCGCTCTCAGTGCTGCAGATCCAGATTGCTATAACACATGCAGTGCAAATGCAGGTAAGGCACACACACAAACTGCGGATGCAAAAACAAACTTGGGACTATTGTGTGTCTATGTTCTTATCTCCAGCCTTGCAAATTCTGGGCAAACGGCTTCTGCAGTTTCTGTATCGTTGCTTTGTGACTAATGACCTTGCGCAGAGTTGTTAAAAAAAAATCCGCTCCGGAGAAAGAGCTGAACATTTTAGGCGATCTCTGAAGATGGATTTGGGTGCTTTTCTGCCAACCAAAGGAGATATTCTGTGGACTGCTCTGTAATACTCGGGGTTCTTCTCCTATCAGCTGTGCAGCTACCGACATTATTGGGATTTTTATTTTTTTCTTTACTTTTTTTTTTCCTAAGAACTCCCCATTGCTAAGAGGATTTGGAGTTTTCCCGACACAAGCCCTTTGAATAAAGCGAATCACATTTTTTTTCCCCTGTGTGTGCAGAGAGGGGGAAGAATAAAGCTAATGCCTTGGTCGTAAACGGCTGAGAGAGAGAGAGAGAGAGAGAGGGAGAGACAGGGAGACAGAAAAGAGAGAGAGAGTGTGAATTGTAGTTAACTCTAGTGTCGAAGAAGACGACCTGGGGGGCTTCGAATCGTACAGTGCTTTTATTGCAAACCTTGCAAAGTGATTACAGTAAAATCAGAGAGGAGGAGGAGAAGGGGGAGGAGAAGGAAAATCCCATCCTATCTACCGAGATGAATCTTTAAAAAGCAAAATACACTGTCCCGTGAACTGTAAGTATATCGCAACTGGAAGGCAGGGAGGGCAGCAGAGGAGCCAGCAGCAGGGTTTTGACCACCAATTGCACCAGCCATGAGACAATAAGTTTCCAGGAATAAAAGGATTTTATAATTGATTACCTGGACGCTCAGCCGCTCTGTTGGCTTATCAGGGGAGTTTATTGGGGGGGCAGGTGGGACTGAGAGGAGGGCGGGGGGTTTCAGTGCAGGGAAGATGAGGAAGATGCGGACCCTCCTTGGCTTTGTACATTGTTGCTGCTGCTTCTTGCTCCTCCTGCCTCTGCCGCTCTGGGTCAGCCTGGCAGCGGCTAAACAGCTCCTGAAGTACCGGCTGGCCGAGGAGGGACCCGCTGACATTCGCATCGGCAACGTGGCTTCCGACCTGGGTATCGTGACGGGCTCCGGAGAGGTGACATTCAGCCTGGAGTCGGGCTCCGACTATCTCAAGATCGATAACATAACCGGGGAGCTGAGCACCACAGAGCGGCGCATCGACCGCGAAAAGCTGCCGCAGTGCCAGATGATCTTCGACGAGAACGAGTGCTTCCTGGACTTCGAGGTGTCGGTCATCGGCCCGTCGCAGAGCTGGGTGGACCTCTTTGAGGGCCGGGTCATCATCCTGGACATAAACGACAACACCCCCACCTTCCCTTCCCCCGTCCTCACGCTCACCGTGGAGGAGAACCGGCCCGTGGGGACCCTCTACCTGCTCCCCACTGCCACCGACAGGGACTTTGGCCGCAACGGCATCGAGCGCTACGAGCTTCTGCAGGAGCCCGGCGGGGACAGCGGCCGCCGCGCCGGCGGGGGAATCTCGGCCGCGGCGGTCCCCGAGAGCGCCCCCTACCCCGGCGGCAGCAAGCGGCGGCAGGAGGCGGAGGCGGCGGCCCGCAGCAGCGTCTTCGAGCTGCAGGTGGCTGACACCCTGGACGGGGAGAAGCAGCCACAGCTGATCGTCAAGGGGGCGCTGGACCGGGAGCAGCGGGACTCCTACGAGCTCAGCCTCCGCGTGCGGGATGGCGGCGACCCGGCACGGTCCTCGCAGGCGATCCTGAGGGTGCTGATCACCGACGTGAACGACAACAGCCCCCGCTTCGAGAAGAGCGTCTATGAGGCGGATCTGGCGGAGAACAGCAGCCCCGGGACCCCGATCCTGCAGCTGCGAGCCACCGACCTGGACGTGGGGGTGAATGGACAGATCGAGTATGTCTTTGGGGCGGCCACAGAGTCTGTCAGGCGTCTACTGCGGCTGGACGAGAACTCGGGCTGGCTCAGTGTCTTGCACCGCATCGACCGGGAGGAAGTGAATCAGCTTCGCTTCACTGTCATGGCCCGAGACCGGGGCCAGCCCCCCAAGACAGACAAGGCCACGGTCGTGCTGAATATCCGGGATGAGAATGACAACGTGCCCACCATCGACATCCGGAAAATTGGGCGCATTCCGCTCCGGGACGGGGTGGCTAGTGTGGCTGAGGACGTGCTGGTGGACACCCCTATCGCCCTGGTGCAGGTGTCAGACCGGGACCAAGGTGAAAATGGCGTGGTGACCTGCACTGTGGTAGGTGATGTGCCCTTCCAGCTCAAGCCGGCCAGCGAGGGTGAAGGGGAGCCACAGAACAAGCGCAAGTATTTCCTCCACACCTCAGCCCCTCTGGATTATGAAGCTGTCCGTGACTACAACGTGGTGATTGTAGCTGTGGACTCTGGCAGCCCCAGCTTGTCCAGCAACAATTCCCTGCTGGTGCGGGTTGGGGACACTAATGACAACCCTCCTGTGTTCAGCCAGGCCGTGTTGGAGGTCTCCTTCCCAGAAAACAACTTGCCAGGTGAGAGGGTTGCCACAGTGGTTGCCACGGATGCAGACAGCGGCAAGAACGCTGAGATCACCTACTCACTGGAGGCCTCACCCCTATCCTCAGAGGCACCAGGCAGCATCTTCAGCATCGACCCTGACTCTGGGGATGTGTCAGTGCAGGCGGTGTTGGACCGTGAGCAACGTGACACCTACGAGTTCCAGGTGACAGCCCGGGACAAAGGGGTGCCATCACTACAAGGCTCCACCACAGTGGTGGTGCGGGTGGCAGACCGCAATGACAATGAGCCGCGCTTCATGCAGGATGTGTTCACCTTCTATGTGAAGGAGAACCTGCAGCCCAACAGCCCTGTAGGCATGGTGACTGTAATGGACTTTGATAAGGGCCGCAACGCTGAGCTCAGCCTCTCCATCCAGCCTGGTGACCACGACCAGGCAGCTGGCATCTTCTCCATCGAGAATGACACTGGAACCATTTTCTCCACTGTCTCTTTTGACCGTGAACAGCAGACTAGCTACACCTTTAAGGTAAAGGCAGTGGATGGAGGTGAGCCACCACGCTCTGCCACTGCCACCGTGTCCCTCTTTGTGATGGATGAGAATGACAATGCACCCACAGTCACCTTCCCCAGCAACAGCTCCTACACTGTGCTGCCACCCTCCAGCAACATGCGCACTGTGGTGGCCACAGTGGTTGCCACCGACGCTGACACTGGTCTCAATGCTGACCTCAACTACAGCATTGTTGGGGGTAACCCCTTCAAACTCTTTGAGATCGACCCGGCCAGTGGTGTGGTGTCACTGGTGGGCAAGCTGGCCCCCAAACACTACGGCCTGCACCGCCTGGTTGTGCAGGTGAATGACAGTGGGCAGCCTTCCCAGTCCACAACTGCCCTACTCCACGTCTTTGTCAATGAGAGCCTGTCCAATGCTACCGTGGTGGAGAGCCAGGTGGCCCGCAGCCTTCACACTCCCTTGGCCCAGGACATCGCTGGTGACCCCAGCTATGAGCTGAGCAAGCAGCGGCTTAGCATAGTCATTGGCGTGGTGGCCGGCATCATGACTGTCATCCTCCTCATCCTGGTGGTGGTTATGGCCCGCTACTGCCGCTCCAAAGGCAAGCACGGCTACGAGGCTGGCAAGAAGGACCATGAGGATTTCTTCACCCCACAGCAGCACGACAAGGCCAAGAAACCCAAGAAGGACAAGAAAGGCAAGAAGGGCAAGCAGCCCCTCTACAGCAGCATCGTCACTGTTGAGGCTTCCAAGCCCAACGGGCAGCGCTACGACAGCGTCAACGAGAAGCTCTCAGACAGCCCTGGTATGGGCCGATACCGCTCCGTCAATGGCGGCCCGGGCAGCCCCGACCTGGCCAGGCACTACAAGTCGAGCTCGCCGCTGCCCACCGTCCAGCTGCACCCGCAGTCTCCCACCGCTGGCAAAAAGCACCAGGCCGTACAGGACCTGCCCCCGGCCAACACCTTCGTGGGCGCCGGCGACAACATCTCCATCGGCTCGGACCACTGCTCCGAGTACAGCTGCCAGGCCAGCAGCAAGTACAGCAAGCAGGTAAGAGCTCTGCGCCCTGCGCACCCCCCGCGGGGCCCCGACACGCACACGCACACACAGAGCGGGTGAGGGAGCGGCGACTGATGCCGCACCCCCCGCTTCCCACACTGGCACAGGCACACACCACCGTCAGGTTCAATGACCCGTTCAGTCTGGTATCCCCGCCCCCTCCCCCTAGGCAGGCAGGTGCGCAACACACAGCACGCAGGAAGGACAGCCAGCTATCTTTATTGTTTTTTATTATTAGTAGTAGTATTATTATTTTTACCATTCCCTCCGCTTTTCAGACCCGGCAGCCAAACAGCCTGTCCATGTAGCCGCACCAAGGGGGGCAGGTTGCCCCGCCGTAGGTGCAGCGGCAGCCGGGCGCGGGGGCAGGGCACGGGCCGGGGACTTGGCCGCCAGCCGCCGACAGCGAGCTGTAAGGCAACTCGAGATGCCTTTATTAGCTGCTCGCCCGGAGGCCAAACCAGGCGGTTTGAGGGGGATGGGGAATCAGGACTCCCCCACACCGGGCGGAGCCGCCATCCCCCGCCCGGTCCCCGGCCCCGCCTTCAGCAGCCGGTCCTTTCGCTTCCCTCGCCGAGATGCTTTCACAGCCTCAGAGACGTGTCGGCTCCGGCTGAGGCGGAAAGTTTCGCCTCAGTAGCCAGGTGTTTCAGGGAAAGGGGGTTGCTGCCTGCCTGACGCTTCCTAAAGCTGTGAGTGAGAGTGGATTTGCAGCCGACGCGCTGAAGCGTTAATGGCTGTAATTACCAGGTCTTTCATTAGGACCAAAATCCTTAAATAATCCACACAGCCTATCTGCTATCTAATTTACACCACTCAGACTGCACTCATTTCAGTAGTTGCTCTGAATACACATAAGCGTTAGTGAGTTAGTGAGTTTAGAATCGCAACTCCAGTATGTTTTCATTGGTTTGGTTTTGTTTTTTGGTGTTTTTTTTTTTTTTTTTTTTTTTTTTTTTTTTTTTTAATGCCCCTCTTGCCTATCATATGAAATTTCATTCAACCTGAGAGGCCCTCATTTGCCAGCCCGGCTCCCGCATAGCTCTGTTTGTAGGGTGTGACTGCCGTAAGACCTCTCGGAGGTGCCTTCAGGGGTGCCACAAGTGACTGGCTCTGGTCTCGGCTGCGATGGCGGGGATTGGTTCAGTGAAGCTCCGATAGCCTAAAACTGGTGACGGTAGTGACTGATTTACAGTTCTTACAATAAAATAGAGATAGCACGGAGGGGAATCAAGCTCCTAAGTGAAAGCATCTGCTTATTTTATAAGACACATATGTAGCCTGAACAGAGGTTACTTTTCTTTAGAGGAGTACTTTTTGGGTGATAGTGAAATGAGATAACTTCACACAGTGATTTCCATCACATCCTTATATTTATATATAAGATAATATTCTGAACGTTTCCTCAGCTACAATGCATGTTACACAAGAATCTAGGAGCAAATGAATGCTGATTCGTGTAAGTACACAGCCAAGACTGGAACAGGGAAATTCTGACTCGTTTGACAAAAATGCTTTCTGTTCACTTTATTAACATGCAAATATGGTACACGATGACTTTTTTTTAATACTTTGAAATGTCTGCAAGTTTAGTACAATTGAAGTTTTATCACGTGTCGCCAGTATTTGCATTCTGCTCAGAAACATTTAAAATATTGTTATTGTAAAATAACATAATTGTATGAGTCCCTCCAGTCTTTCAGGTCACCAAAAAAAATGTGATTGATGTACTATCTGCCAGCACTTTTGTGTATGTGCTTTTACAACTGATATAGACTTACAGACCACTTGACACAGTAGTTTCTGGGTGATACATTTCATTAACTCTCTCCTAGAGAGTACATCACAATTTCAGTTTGAGAATAGTCTGTATAAAGTATAAAGTACTAAGAAAGTTACCTTCCATCTCCTAAGTCTTATTAAGCACATAGTAGATTATGCCATTTTAGCCAACACTGGAATAAAAGGAGCAATGGAATATATGCTAATCAGATACTGCTTATTTCTTGCTGCTGCAATTTATCTAAATATATGGATTATAATCTGTTAAAGTGTAATTTCTTTTTAGTGTAAAAGAATGACTTGTATTCTAAGTGTAGGAATGGTAAAGGAATATACCTTACAAATTGCTGTTTTGCTTGATAAAAAACCTTATTTAAGATTTTATTACAGAAATGTTTTGAATTACTTAACATTTTCCAAAAATATGTTTTCATATAAAATATATTAGAAAACTTCTTTGTAGAAGAAAATGGCTTTATTACACTTTTATTTGCAACAATCAAACTAAAAGAAGTACACCCTGAGTTGCTCCATTACTTATGTAGTTTGTCACAAAAACAATTTCTCAGTGTCGATGGTTTTCTTGTACTAAGTATTTAGTCTGTTATGAAGGTTTGTTTTCCCAAGTAATTTATAGCCAGTATTCTAATGTCTTATCTGTTTATTTTTAAACAAGTAGAAAATATTTGCACACAAGCACATAAGTTGGAAATTGTGCAAGAAAACAATAAAGGTAGTGCTAAATAATGGACTTTATGGGAGAGACTATCAGTGGTAACCTTTGTTGCCACTGTCCTATGGGTACTTGCCAACTTGTTGCTGAGTGACATTTGTATAGTTTTGTTCATGCTTTTGTATTGTAATGGGGACATTAAGACTTGCATAAACAATATATACCCTTTTCACATCTCAAACATTGACAGTTCAGTATTTCTTAATTTAGCAGGCAAAATACATGAGGATTTTTAACACCCAAACCACATGGAGCACGTTGTTCAGAGAGAAATGTGAAGCAGATGCAAATAAATGTGGTGTATATCAGGTTCCGATGTGGTGTATATCAGGTTCTGACATGGTGTATATCAGATTGTTTCATAGTTCTCTTGTACATGTGAAACAGAACCAGTGGCATTTTGACATCATGGTAGGGAGACTACTTGAAATCTCTGAGACTGTCTTTATTTACTCACTGTCGGTTCCCTTTGTTCGAAGGAGACATTAGAAGGTGTATAAAATTTTAGAACAAATAAGTGAACTCAGCAGAATGTACCTGCTCGAAGTTATTGGAGATGAGAGCAATACTAATTTCCCATTAGTGTAATTAGAATTGGTAATTGATACTTTTGTGTACCTACAGTAGAGCAGTTGGGAAAAAAGTCTCTACTTACATGACCGACTGGTGTACCCCAGCGAATGCAAGTTGTTTTCATTCTGATTATTTGATACTTCCTTTTTAAGTTGACGAATTGAATTCGTATGTGAGTTCCCAAATATATCTTGTTTGATACAGTATTGTATAAGAGAACTCCAGTGGCGAAAACTGCAAACAATTTGTAACTCTCCTCCTTCTTGACCTCATGTGTTATATGAAGTTAAAAACTAAATTCTGTATTCAGTAGGCTTCTGACATTTCACTGTCACTTTTTTTAAAGAGAACTTTCACAAATGTAACTCCTATTCTTGTCTTATTTAACATAGTATTACTCTGAAATACTCTTTTAGCCTCTCACTTATCAATTCTCTCCTTTCAGTAAGGCATTAACATATCTACTTAATGCCAAACAAATTTTAAATCACTTAATATTCCACAGGTCTTAATTACTTGCCAAAAGTTAAAGCTGTACGCTGCCTGTGAGGAGCCTGGTTACTACTAACTTCCAGCAAAGACAGCCAAAGATAAGGAAAGCTCAGGGCCTTAGGGGAGTCACTTAGCAGCTTGGAGAGTTACATACTTAATCATAATTCTCATAATGGATTTTAATAGTAAATAATTGTTTATTTTGAAATTTAGTTACAGATATATCTTTATAATATATGCTTTTCCCTCCCCAGTTTGTCTTACAGTGCAAAATAGTGGCATCTAATCAGATTTATTTCACTGAAACTTTTAATCACGAATCAGTGTTAACAGCCACTGTTCGAACAACAGGCATTTTAAATACTGTTTATATGTTTATAATTTTTTGCCATCCTATTATCTTGGTTTCTTTTTTACTTGCTCTACTAAACAGTGATTATTGACTCCTTAAAACACTGCAGTTATGGTGCTGGCATTTTTTTTCGTTGTTATTATTTTTAAGAGGTGCTGTTCCCTGTCAGTAGAATTAGCAGAATCAGTACAGGAATTTCTGAGCAGCATTATTTCTTTGCTTGGGGTATTGGCTTCTTAGCCAATTCTGTAATTCTTTATGAAAAATCTCAATGCCTTTTCTCGTTGGAAATGTACTGTTTAGTGAAGAAAAAAATATTTATCCTACCAGAGTGGGCTGACACACTAATCAGAATTGGATGCATTTGCTGTAAAGTCTTATTTCCATGAAAGTGAAACATGTCAAAATTAATTTCTGGAAAAAATTATTTGCATACTAGCCAGTTAATTTATTTTGTAATATTTCAAACATTAATTAGTCTGTTGCAATATAGAAGCATTTTGACTAGTTGGTTATCATGTGTGTGAAATGTATCTATAAACTAAATGGGTCAATTTCCTCATAAACATGCACATATACCCAGCAGCCTTGACAGGACCCAAAATTCATCCATTAAGGGGGCAATCAGTTTAACCATGCAGGAAAGCATCATCTTTCTTCTTGCTTATGTACAGACACACACGTACACAGAGATGCTTATCTTTATAATCACAGAGCAACTCTAAAGAATGAAGTTTTTCACAACTTTTAGATAAGCAAATATCCTACAATATAATAATAATAATAACAATTCATAAGTGCAATTAAAAAAAGAGAACATTGTTATTAAGTATAAACATTTACATTGGTGAATTCTTTCATACATTTGACTTTACTCTTTAGTGAAAAGTATACAGAAGTATTTTCAATTTTCTGTTCTAATTTTGCATTATATTAAATATTTTGCAATTAGTTTTTAAAAGTGACCCACATTTGACCTTCAGTAACAAATTATGATGAAAGAGGGGCTAATTAAACATGAAATGGATGGATCATTGATGCTTTAATTATCTTTATTTAACACAAAGTGTTCCACTGATAAGTGCAGCTTTTATTTTTTTCCTCTCCAGTAAAATCATCTTGTACAGT